CTTTTCAAGACCATGAGGAATGCAAGGGGAGCAGGGCAAAAGAGAAAACTACTAATCTGTTTTTCTCAACAGCAAGAAAAAATTGTATGATTAATAACCATTCAGCCAGTAGCATTTATCTTTATAGAATACAGCACCATGGACAGTGGTTTCCACAAGAATAAGCACACTAGTCCAGAGATTTTCAAAGATAGCATGTTAATAAGAAGGGGGAATCCTGGGAATCCTAATTAAGAAGAAAAGATCTAGTGAAAGGAAACTAACTGAATTCACATTCTTTCATGCCTGCATTCTTGTGAAACCTTAGAGAAGTGGTGGCAAACCTATGGCACGCGCGCCAGAGGTGGCACTTGGAGCTTTCTCTGTGGGCATGTGTGCCATTGCCTCAGCCCTGCCTCCCCGGGGCCCCCTCTCACCAGCAGCCCCCCTGGAGGAGAGTTGCCTGGGCATGGAGCACCACAGCCAAGGACATAACCAGGCAGCAGGGACAAGACTCTGCCCTCGTGCCCCATAGTGTGCAGATGATGCTGCGGGGTGTGGGCAGAGGACGTAGCTGCCATGGTGCTGTAGGACTTCCTGGGCAATCTGTGGCAGGCCATGGAGGCAGTGCATGGCCCTGCAGGCGGAAGGGACAGGGAGCGGGCAGGGCACGAGGCGGAGCGGTGATAGGGGACAGGTTTTGGGCACTCAGTCTCTAAAAGGTTCGCCATCACTGCCCTAAAGTTCTATAGAACAGTTTCAAAATCTCTATATTAGACAATGGTGATTGTCTTCCCACTCCACTCCCAAAAATACTCTATATTTCGAGTTCTCCATTCCAGGATTGCCTAGATAAGAAGTAGACATGCTCCTTTTATAAACCAAAGATAACCAGTGGCTTCCAATAGTCCAGTAATTGGACTACAATTATTATCAGAAATGTCAATGTTTAAGTGTTCTGAGAATTCCAACTATTATCTCATCAGTTTTTAGATAAAATAATGTACCTCGGATTCAAATCCTCCTTGGTCATTATCTCTTTTTTTTCCTGGAAAAATAAAACCGTTAAAATGATATTTAGATGGATTTAGTGGATTCTCATGAGACAGGCTTAAAATACAGAAGCACATTGTTCCAATAGGTTAAATTACCAGAAGTAAAGCTGACAGTCTGGTCAATCTCTTCTTGGCTAAGCATTAGATTGTGTTAGCTTTTAGTAGTTAGAGAAGAACAGTTTGTGGAAAGGGGATCATGAATGCTTATGATGAAAAGAGAGTGAAGACATTTCATGCATATGAAGAGCAAGATTTTAATGTGTTTTCCTTTTCTTTCTTTTTAATTGTGGTAAGTCTATTCTGGGCTCATTCATAGCTGTATGAAACTTGGTGGTGCAACTGATGGGGTTATACCATATAAAAAGATTCACTGGCCATTTATTGACCAGGATTAGCAGACTGCTTAACTACCAAAATACCAAAAGTATAGCTATCCTAAAGGATTTCATAGATCTACTACTGGCAACTGAACTGAATTTATATATTTTTATTGCAACTCCATCAGTAACACCATCACAAAAATAACTCAATCAATAACTTCAGCCATTTATCAAGTTATTTCCCCTTCACTAGAAATGGTAGAAAATGAAAGTTGATGAGTCTTTAATATTATAATTGAAATGCAAGACAGGTGGCAGCTTTGTAGTGGCTTTATACTTGAGGGGAAAAAGACAAAAATCCATAAATAATAGGTCCAATATTGCAGCATTTTCTTTTATGTTTTCTCAGTACAACATACGAAAAATTCATATTCCTAATCTTAAGGGAGAAAAGTTTTACACTGAAAGAAAAAGTTCCATATATCTACTCTACATGTATATATGTGTGTGGTACACAAACATGCCCGTATATTCATGAACAGGCAAAGCAATTCTAGTGTCAGATTCACTAGCTATATGAGATTTAAAGTGGGGATGAAGCTGCTCCCCATTCACTTGTTTAATTGGGTTCTCTTTATCTAGACTTGGGACTTGTGTGGAAAACAGATCATGTTTTAGATCCTATTGATGCATAAATATTGAAAATTTACAAGGGTTCACAAATTTTTAAGCCCCATTGTAACCAATTGTTACAGATTTATTTAAAGCATAATTTCTTCAAGTCTTACTCTTCCCAAAACAGGATCCTAAGCATATATTTTTTACTATTTTACTTCCTTATTTCACTTTTGTTTTGCCCAAAACCCACAAACTATATTACCAAACATTTCAGAGTTGCCTTGAACTATGAGATGAGTAGCAAATAGATTTGCTAAATAAATAAATACATAGTTATTATATATTTGATATGGATCTAGAAATAAACATTCATTTATTGCATCTACCTCCTACTTGGTAAATGTGTTGGAAAGTATTCTCTACATTAGAGATCCTGGCTTGCATAGAAAAATATGAATATTCTTGAAGTAAAACAGGGCTTTAGTTGTAAATGTGACTCATATCACTAATATTGAACTTACTATTAGTCATAAATATGGCCTACGCCACACAAGTGACTAAGAAGTGTAACCTGGTCCACATTTTATCTATAGTATATGAAAGCCTTTATGAATGAAAGCCAAGATAGCCAGAGAGATCAGTATCTATGAATCAAATGATATTTCCTTTCATATTTCCTTTTCTGTTACTTATTTTAAGTCTTTCATTTTTTTTCTTTCCTATTTCTTACTCCTTTCCTGCATATTGCATAAAGTTGCTTAACCTGAAAAGAAATACAATAGCATGATTGATTAGTGAGTTCCCTGCTGGGCATGGAGGGTTTTATTTTTTCTGAAAAAGAATAATTTTTCTAAGTACCTTTATAATCCTTTTTAATAACTAGGAAAAGAAGGCTTGTTGCTAGAGATAGATGCAGTGAGGAATTTTTGTTTCCCGTTCTTACAGGATAAGATACAAAGTTAGGTAAGAAAACAAAATACTATCCAAACTATCTTCAAATCTTTCACAATTTTTCCCAATGTCCCTTATCAATCTGTCATTAAAAGGCTACAGAATAAAGCTACAATAGGTAGCCTGGGCTGGTTATGTATAATCACAATCAAAGGCTTTGGAAAGAACAGACCATAAGCTTTACAAGGAAAGAAATGGCCTGGAGTATAGTACATTGTCACAGGCCTGAAAGCATTTCACAGCTGTGAAAGCTGGCAGGAGGGGCAGAGAAGTTTAAAAAGTATCTGAACTGCAGACCTGATGAGGGTGTTAACAAGCTTTTGGTATCTTGGGAAGAAGAGAGGCTTAAAAGCAAAGTGAGGGACAAAGTTACTTACTACATGATTTCCATTAGGATTAACTTTAGGGCAGAATAGTAAATTTTGAGACAAAGAGGGAAAAAACTTACAAATTCCAGCTGTTAAGAGTTGCACTATTTGCAGGAATAAGATAAAACCAAGCATTAAAACTATAGATAGCTATAACTAGGGCATCGGTTGCTATAAAGTTTCTTTCACAGTTGTTTTGAGTTTGCTTTCAAACTGTAAACAGCTGCCTTGCTACTTGGTCCATGGCTACTCTGAATTTGAAAACATCCAATTTTTCATTTGCTCCTCTCCCTTCCCAAATTGTCATTCCACTGAAAATGATCAGCCACTAACAATGCCAGTCATTTTTGAATGGTTTGGGGTTTTCGGTGTCTTTCTTTAATGTGTCTTTCTTCACACAGAGATTTTGGATTCTACTTCCTCCCTTGCAATATCCTTTCTCCATTTAGAATTGGAACTGGATCTAATCTTGGGTGGATATGTTGAACTGTTTTAGTTTCCTTATTGTAGATTTCTGCTGATGCTGTAAATTAGTTAATGGGTTGCAGCAATAATGTCATATGATTAGCAACCCATTTATCATTCAGCCTGTTTAGGTTCCAGATTTTATTTTATGATGCTGTACTTTGCTTGCTCATTTATTTGGAAATGTACAATAACAGCAAAAACTATTGAAACGCACAGTTTTTGCTGTTATCAGTACCAAAGACAAAAGGAAATAGATTAAGGAACATTAAGGCTGCATGCCTGAGCAATCAAACAAAATGCAGACATTTTCATACTGTGGTTCCATTACCCTGCTTGACTATATACATGCATGCATTTCCACATATGTTTTGGACAGCTTCAAACTCATTTGCACTGAATCTTAGAATACTGTGCCTTCTTATTTGTATGCCAAATAATATTTTGCTTAAGTACAAAAAACATCAAGAAATCAATTTCATCTCAGAAGTGTTAGCATTTACTTACTCTGAGCAACCTACAAAATTAAGAAGGGTTGGCGTAGTTATTGGATGGCTACTATCAGGAGATCCCAATGCCATAGCATAGGTTAGAGAAATTTCAAAAACATTTGAAAAGAAGGCAAATGGCAACCATTGCCAATCATGGCAGGAAAATTATATAGATATACCTTGTAGGTCACCAATATATATTATATATATTATATATATTATATATTATAATACTATATTATATATATTGTAATATTATATTATTATATATATTATACTAGCACATAATCACCTCAATGACCTCAGCTATTAAATGTTCCCTTATTATTTGACTGAATGTGATTCTTGAGTTGTTGAAACTGCAGGGAGAATCCACAGCCCCAGAGATTTTGGTTGTAGGTCCCGAACATGCAGTGCTATAATTCTCCAAGGCAGCACAACTCTGAGACCATATAGGAACATAAGTACCCCAGTGATGGGTAAACATTTGGGTACATAAAAGTAATATTACCAGCTACTTTTTGAAGTAAAAATTCTTAGAGATGTCTGCAAGTAAAAAAGTTGCTTAACGTTGCAATCCTTACATTATCAATCTCATATAGCTTTATCTATCTTGTGTTCTGAGTAGGCATTTGGGAGTTATAGTCCAAACACAGCAAGATGATAGCGGGTTGAAGATGGCACAATTCAAAATCACATTGTAATGGTTTCCATTAGGCAAGAATTTGTATACTATGAAATAAATTCTCCTACCTTTCCTACATAAAGAGGATCGCTTCCCATGTATTCCTCCAGTACGAAGAACTGATTCCATACCCAACTACGTTTGGTTCGGGATTTCCCAGGTTGGAAGTAGGGTTTTGATCCCGATTTTGGCAGTTCTGCTTGGCTCATCCCAGAAAGACAGAGGAAAAGAGCTAGTATCTGCAAAAAATGGCAGAGCTCTACTTTGCCTAATTTCATTTTTCTTCTTCTCCCTGTGCAAGGAAAAAAATAAAGTAACAACAGCAAAACAAACAAACGAAAGAAAACTGGAGAAAAGAACGGGCAAAATTCCAGTTGGCTTAGTGAGGCATCCAGTGGGATTCCAGAGGTAACGACTGGTGTCCAATGTTCGATTAAAAAAAAAAAAATCACTCTCCACTACTGAACATTCTTCACAAAAGATACAGCATAAGAAGTACCTATAAAAGAAATGGAAAAATAAAGACAATAACTGTTTTCAAATGTATTTCCTGAAATTTACATTTCTTTTAACTTTCATATGTGAATGATGAAGTTCCCTCAACTTTTCATTTCAGATATGGGCTAGAGGTAATATTTCAACCTACTGAGTGCTGCTCCTTCAATTGCATTAATACCTTTCAGTGATGAATTTACATCTAAGTACAATGGGTAGGAGAAGAAAGATATGTCTGATGTCTCAACCCACCAACCAACTGATAAGAGATGCACTGAGCTCATTTGAATTTCCAAATCTTCCTCACTTGATTTCTTCCTTTCATCATAGCAATCAAATTAACCAGAAGTTACTGAGGAAGACAAAGTGTCCGATTACATTCACCCATTGCTCCAGACTTTTCCAAATAAAACTGAACAGGGATAACTCAAGAATTTATGCTTATGGTACATGGCAAGTTTTTAATTCTACCAGCAAATATATCAGTATGTTTTTATATTTAAAGGCCACCTATACATTACCCCTAAGCTGTCTCAGTGATGCGTATCAGATACCAATTTGCTGGTGGATATTTTTATCATTTTCAAAAGCCACATTAGAGCTTAGTAAGTTGGAGAATGAAGGCTATTTAGAAATTTTAGCTCAAGGATTCCTGAATTAGGTACTGATTCCTGGACTCTGATGTGGTACAGCAAATCAAGGTTGAAATACAATATGGAAATATATGCATTATTTTCTAGGTCTCAGCTTAACACATGATACTTCAATTTCAAAAATAAGCATTACTCATGTCTTAATAGTTATGAACAACAGCCTGAAAACATGCAGACATTAAGTGTGATAAAGTAGAAGCAGTTTAACATCTATAAGTCCCCAGACTGCAGCATACTTATCAAAAGAAAGGCACTGGAGAAAAAGTATTTATTTAATTTAGCTTAATTTACTAATTTGTATTCCACCTTTCACCATAAAATGAATTTAAAAATTCATACAGCAATAAAATAAGACAAATACTGTAATAGAAACCAATATTACATAATAAATACATTATCAAATACGAATGTATCCCAATTAAAAACAAATATTTCATTAAAAGAAACATTTTAAGAAGTTCAAAAAGCCACAATATTGGTTGGATATAATTTCTGGACCAAGAGAAGTTAATTAAATAATTAATATAAAAATAAATTAATAAATTATTGTCTAATCATTCATTTCAAAGCTTTTTATGATGCCTTTTACACTAGGCATCTTAATAATAGACAATGGACAGAAAGATACAATATAAACCAAAATGAAGATGAAGAAAACAAAGCAATGTGAAGACAGATATAATCATGCAAATGTTTAGAATCAGGTTGCTAGTCCTCTTAATATAAATTAAAAAAAAACATTGCTACAATCTGATCTGTTTGGAGCAATATTAAGAGTTGACCCAATTATAAGCAGGTGACCTATTAATTTCCAGAAATTGGTTGATATTAAACGCTATTACTCATAAAGACTAGAAAATTATATTCACTCATAAGACCTTAAAATTTCATAGGAAGACACAACGTACACAGGGCAAGATTGAAACCGTCACTTGTTCACAGCCTAACCTAATTCACAGAATTTCTGACAAAATAAGATGAGAGTAAAGAAGGAAGCAAATAATACAATGCTAAGAATCACTGGATGAAAATATGATGCAAAATATAATGAACTGCATGCTGCTTCTTGGAACAATGCCATTAGTTTTAATGACAAGAAGTTAATAATGCAAGCTTCTTCTGTATAATATTTATGATATACTTTGCAATATGTCACAGCTAGGCAACATGGTATGTCTTGACACAACACCCTGAAGATACTTCTCTTGAGAAATTTATTCTCTCTCTCTCTCTCTCTCTCTCTCTCTCTCTCTCTCTCTCTCTCTCTCTCTCTCTCTCTCTGTGTGTGTGTGTGTGTGTGTGTGTTTTAACTAGGAATCAAAGAAAAAATAAAAGTTAATGTCAGTATCTAATAAAGCACCCACTTTTGTTAGCATAGTTATTTATAAAAATGCCTCTATTTCTGAGGCATTCTTAGCATGATTGTAAGACAGTATTTTCCTTAAAAACAAAAAAGAACAAAGAAAACAAGGTCTGGAGAAGATATAAAAGTTAGCTAGACTAGTAGAAAACATTGTGGGGGGGAAGGGGGGCTACACTGTATCTTGTAGAGCAATCTTCTAGTAAACAAGGGACTTCCAGACTCATTCCCACTTTGGCAACCACTTTTGAAAAGAAACTTTTGAAAGTCATGCTATAAAACTGCATGCTCTTAAAATTAAATATTTGTTCAAGCCTGCAATAGAAATAGTAACCGAAATGTGAAAACTTCAGAATAACTGCCAAGAAACAGTTTATTTTATGAAGTAAGGATTCTATTTATGGATTTCACCCTTAACTTGAAGCATCTTCCTTTCCTTCAAATCTCCTGTACCATATAACAATATTCAATTGGACCTATTCAAACTAGGGATTCAATCAATTAAAAATGAAAGTGGGCATATATTTGCATTTTTTTACTGAATGGCTCAACTGTTTGTCATCGGGAACATTCAGCCAAATATGAGGCGGATTATGTCAATGATGATGGTGTTTAAGTGGTGTTCTGGTTGTTTTGGGATTGCTTGCAAGGCATCTATTACTATTGGTACTATCTTTGCTTTCTTTTGCCACAATCGTTCTATTTCTATTTGCAGGTTTTTGCATTTTGTAATTTTCTCCAGTTCTTTCTCTTCTAGTATGCAGATTCCAGGTATAGCTATGTCCGCTAGTCTTTCTTATCAACAATTGTTAAGCCTTGGTGTTACGTGGAAGGTTTTTGTCTTTTTAAATTCTAAAGCTCCAGAGTACTTTAGCTTATTCATTTTCTATTATTCTGTCTATTTTGTGTTCCCATCAGGTCTTGCTTGCAGGCAAATGGTATTTCTTCCATATATGCCAATGCATCACTGTTACTACTTTGTCATGCTATAGTTTGTAGTCAGTCCATGATTTCTTTTTATTTTTTCAGCAACAAAGCAATGATCCACTCTTTCTCCAGCTTCTTTGTAGAGGAAGCATTTCTGTCTTTTCAGTTCTGGCTTTTTATGCATTTGCTCTTAAGGCTTGATCTTCTCCATTATTTTTATTATTACAATTGCTCATTTAAGATATTCAGACTGGACTTGGCATTTTTATCTACCAATTAAGTCATTCCAAAGGCTCTAGTATAGGCAGATATTGTTGTTTAATGGTATTAAAATTGATGTCACTGGACATAAGCTGTGTCAAGTATAGCTGCTTTTTGCAATTGACTGACAGTAACTTTGTCAATGCTGATGGTGTTCAAATGATGGTCAGATGTTTTAGGAATGCATCTGAGGCTACTATTATTATTATGGTTCCTTACCCATTCAGCCAGATGTTTAGACTGGGTTTGGCATTTTTTCCATCAATTAAGTCCTTCCAAGGACGTGGTATAGGCAGATGTTGTTATTTGATTACATTAAAGGTATTGCTGCAGGATGTCAGCTGTTCCAAGTAAAGATGCCTTTTGCAAATGACTAATGGTAATCCAAGTGGTGCTCCAGAAGTTTGGGGATTACATGCAAGTGCCTTTATTATTGATTGACTGATTTGATTTGATTTTTACTCCATATCAGCAAATAGCCTGAGCCTGCAAAGATGGAGTGAGAAAAGTTAAAGCTCAAAATGAACTAGCGCTTGCAACCAAAGTAAAAAATAACAAAAAAAGCTTCTTTCAACATGTAAAAAACAAGAAAAAAGTTAAGGAAATGATTGGTCCACTAGTGGGAGAAAGGGGCAAGAAGGTGACAAGTAACAAGGAGAAAAACATAACTACTCAACTTGTTTTTTGCATCTGTATTTACACAAAGAGAAAAACCTATCAAAAACAGTACCATAAAAAACAGATTAGAAACACAAGTTAAGATAGGCAAGAAAATGGTAAGTGAGCACCTGTCCACTTTAGATGAGTTCAGATCACTTGGGCCAGATGGACTACACCCCAAGGTTCTGAAGGAACTGGCAAATATGGTCTGAGAACCACTGAACTATATCTTTCAAAGATCCTGGACCACTGGAGAACTACCAAAGCATTGGAAAAGAGCTGATGTAGTTCCCATCTTCAAAAAAGGAAAAAAAATGGATTCAGGAAACTACAGCCGTATCTGCCTGACCTGGGAAGATCTTGGAAAAGATAATCAAGCAACGAATCAGCGAACACCTAGAGCAGTGGTTCTCAACCTGCGGGTCAGGACCCCATTTGGGGTCGAACGACCATTTCACGGGGGTCGCCAAACAAGGCTGTCCACCATTTTTTCCCCTTTTTTTGGCCACGCCCCTGGCACCCGGTGATGTATAAGTGGTTGGGGGTCACTACAACATGGGGAACTGTATTATGAGGTCGCGGCATTAGAAAGGTTGAGAACCACTGACCTAGAGGCAAACAAAGTCATTACTAAAAGTCAACATGGGTTTGTCAAAAACAGATCATGCCAGACAAATCTTATTGTATTCTTTGACCAGGTGACAAAATTAGTGAACCAGAGGAATGCTGTGGATATAATTTACTTAGACTTCAGTAAGGCATTTGATAAAGTAGACCGCAACCTATTACTTAATAAGATAGAAAAATCTTATTGGGTTAGACACCATCACCACCAGATGGATTCGTAGCTGGCTGACCGACCGTACTCAGCATGTGGTCCTCAATGGAACTGCATCTACATGGAGGGAAGTGTGTAGATGGGTGCTCCAGGGCTCTGTTCTGGGCCCAGTGCTCTTCAACATCTTCATCAATGATTTGAACGAGGGGATAGATGGGAAACTCATCAAATTTGCAGACAACACCAAGTTGGCAAGAACAGTCAACACTCCAGAAGACAGGCTTAGGATACAGGAGGATCTGGACAGACTTGAATATTGGGCACTATCTAACAAAATGAAATTCAATGGTGAAAAAACTAAGTTT